CTCACCAAACAGCGAACAAGCAAACCCTCCATCTACAAAGAATTTGTCAAAACACAAAGGCCAAAAGCTAGAGGTGAATTTCAGAGGGCGGGGTCACTCTTGGTAGATTTCCGGGGAGGTTTAAACTTGTCATTTTAGTAACTGGCTACGTGCCTGAGTGATACCAAACTAATTTTGGGAATTGCAGGGATCCATAATTTTACTGTGTGTGCCTGGGGGGGTAGGGAGAAATGAAAGATTATACTGAAAGAGGGATATATGAACGAATCAATCAAAACGGATGAAGGAGCTGTTTGATTTTGAATATTGTTCCAGATGTAATCATATAAAACAAAACTTCTCTTGAACACCAAACATTCGAAATCCTCTGGACAAACTATCATAAACTAGGTTTGTTGATAAGGCTTTTAGATGTTAATGTAATCATGACAAGATTCCCCACCATTAACACTGCATACAATGTGCCCCTTTAAATGAGTGGCAAGCCTTCAGCATACCTGTCCCTTGACCAAGTTGTAGAGGGCTAACGTGGCCCCAAGGTGTTGGGCTTGCATGCTGTCCTCCGTGAGGATGGTGGGACAGACTTCTAAAGCCTCATCTCCTCTCTGAATGCGGACTCTGTGGAAGAATCATTACAGGAACAGAAACCTCGTCGACCTCATTTTAAACTGGCAGGAGGTTTATAAGCAACAATCAAAAAGATAAAATAAGGGCTGCACAGGTTACCAAAATAAATTAGCTGAATGTTGCTAATTTCAGTCTCAGAATGGAAATTTTAACAATAGCCCTGAAATAAACCCAGCTACCTTCACATACATCTGTAAAGAATGAGGTTGTAATATTATACACTATGTATAACAGACAATTAAGAAAATATCATAAACAAAACATAAAACTAATAATTATATTGAAGATTAGGTGCCTAATTTGATTTTATATTGGCTACCTTCTGCTATATATATATATATATATATATATATATATATATATATATATATATATATATATATATATATATATATAGCAGTTTAGTGTGTGTGTGTGTGTGTGTGTGTATATATATATGAAAGGCACTTTATTAACTTTTCATCATCTTTACCACATCCTGTGGCAGAACAAAAGTAACCTCTTCATTAAGACCAGTGTTCCTCACACCAGTCATCAGGGATCCGCAGACGATCCATGTTTTTGCTTCCTTACAGTGAAAATGTGGACTGTCTGGTAGGAAGCTGGGAGGGAGCAAAAACATGGACCGGCCAGGGGTCACCGAGGGACTGGGTTGGGAAACACCGATTTAAACACACCTGCACTTCCAGTATCTACCAGCAGGCACTTTGTGGAAAGACGGTGGGGGGCTTCTGGGGAGGTTTTTCCTGCACCAGTCGATGAGGAACTGCTTGGGAGACTTTCCCGTCCAGCTCCGCGCCGTGTAGTCAAAGTTCCGGATATCCTTAGGCTGGTTCTTCTTCGCTGCTGACCACAAGAAACGGACAGTCATGTTCTCTGGCGCAGTCATTAAAACGCGGCACCGACACCCCCATTAGCAGCCAGGGGTCTCCCCTCCTTACTCTTCTCCAATTGAGGTTTATCTTCCTGTTGGAACAGATTGAAGTTCAGGTCGTCCGGAGCTTCCTGAACTGCTGCTGGTTTCTTGTCCTCTTTTGGAGTATCAGTCACTTTTATGGCAGGATTGAACATCGGATGCGATTCCAAAGGCTTCATCTCTAAGATACGTGCAAAATCAGAGGTAGGAAGTTCAGATCCAGAAAGCAAAAATCCAGACCAAGACTTTGTTTCAACCAACCAGTTAAGTATAAAGAGTCACAGTTACAGAGTACTCAACTGCTTTGTTGAACCTAAATCTTGGTCCAGATTTTTACTTTCTGGGCTTGAGTTATGCACCTCTAGGCAAAATAACTATATTACTACTGAAGGCTTAGGTGACTCCATTACCTCATTAAGTGCCAATAACAAGCCCTTTATTATTGACAAAGGGCAATTATATGGTGAGCGCCAAGTTAAGTTGGGATAAGGGAATATTTAGGAAATATACGATATTAATCCTTAATCCTGCAATTTAAAAATATAATTACAAAAACCCAACAGTCCAAAATAATCACTACTCTACAGCTGCCGCTCAGACCCACCCTGGCGAATCACTCGAATTCGATCCTGTGCCGCCCTCTGGTTGATCTTATCCTGCTTTGCTCTCGCTGCCACGGCAGACTCCTTTGCGTCATAGAGCTGAGCTGTGAGCACCAGATACCTGTCATTCTAAACGAAACAGGTGGGAGAGCGGGATGAGTGACAGCCACATCCATTTTCCGTGGCCATTTAAACAGTTCAGGCACGCAGTGAAACCCGGGTCTCCCCCAGTGGGCAGGGGGCATGAGGCTGGGGACACTCTAGATGGGATGAGGTTTCAAGTCATTTCATATTATTATAGAATCCCCTGGGTTGTATTC